ATCATCATCATCATCATCAGCATCAGCATCATCATCATCATTAGCATCGTCATCATCATCATCGTCATCATCATCATCATCAGCATCCTCATCATCATCATCATCATCATCATCATCATCATCATCATCATCATCATCATCATCATCATCATCCCCCCTCCTCTCTCTCGTCCCTCCCCTCCCCTCGCCCCTCCCCTCCCCTCCCACCTCCCCCCTCCTCTCTTTCTCTCTGGCCATCTCCTCGCTCCTCCCCTCTCCTCTCCATTCCCTCCCCTCTCCCCTCCTCTTCTCCTCGTCCCCTTCCCTTCCCTTGTCCTGTGTGGTCTGCACGGCGCCTCACCGCTGTGCACCCCCCTGGCACGGATCCCCGCATGGGGAGTGCTTCGCGGACATCCGAGTCCCGAGCCCCGAGTCCCTTGCCCTGCGCCCCCTACCCTCCCCCCAAACAGCCCTCCCCATTCATCCCCGCCTGCCTCCGTCCCTCCCTCCCCCTCCCCCTCCCCCTCCCCCCCCCCCTCCTCCTCCCCGTCCCTTCCCCCCGCTCCCCCCTCCGCCCCCAATCCCTTTCCCCTCCCTTTCCCCCCTCCCCCGCCCCCCACCCCTCCCCGCCTCCACACTTACCCAGAAGGAATGCTGCTCTCCGACTCTCCAGTGACAGCGTCCTTTCGCGATCCCCCCTCTGCCACGCACAGGGTTCCACGAGCGGACGAGTCGTCAAATGGTGACAAAGCCTTGGCCAAGTCCTGCCCACCTCTCCCTCTCTGCACCCCCCTTCTCCGTCCCTCCCTCATTCCCGATCCCTCCCTCTTTCCTCTCTCTCTCCCTCTCTCGCTCTCTCTCTCTCTCTCTCGCTCTCGCTCTCCCCGTGGACCCACTTTCATCCTGAGTCGTTTTTGATGTTCCCAGGGCCTGGTGAGGGCCCCCAGACGCCAAAAAACTTTGAAAAAAACGCACACCATGTTTGTTTGCACGGCGCGAGTGGGCAACGACTCGGGGATCACAACAGGGGGTCCCCAAAACCCATCCTGTGGCGCGCTCTGGCCGAAACCTCGACGTGGAATATGGCCGTGACCGCGAGAAGCCCCCCGCCCCCTCGGAGTCTCCTCCAACAGAAAGCAAGAACTTCCAGAACCTCGATCCTCGAAGAAAACTTCCAGAACCTCGAGCCTCGAACATCCAGGGGACTCGAGGCTCCCACCTCGGAGCTCGGCGCCGCTGCCGGGGGATCCTTGCGGAACGTGTTGATGGCCAGGATCGCCAGCTCGGGCTGCGCCTGCCGCGCGAGCGGCCCCCCCGGAGGGCGCCCGCGAATCGGGCCGGGGTTGAGCAGCGTTGGGCTGATCCCGACAGACGCCGGAAGAAGTGAGCGAACACTCACGCCACACGTACAGTCGAGGCGTTGACCTAAGGAACCCTAAATAAGGAACGAGGCCCCTGTTTCCCATAAGTTCAACCTCGATTTCCTATGGAAAACCTCAGGAAAACCCGAGGCAAACTTTGAAACAATCAAGGAACACCGAGCCCCTCCCCAACGAAAAGGGTTCCTTCTTCAGCGCCCCGACTGTATCTGCCGATGCCCCCCGAATGATCAGAGTTGGCGGTGGGCTCACGGAGTTGCACTTCGACCGCATTCTTCCCCGCGCGTGCCAGCTTCGGGGTGCTGGAAGTGTCCACTCATTGTTTCCCTGTACCGTAACGCCACAGGCCTGGCCTGGGCCCCACAGGCCGATTTACCCCCCCTCGATGCAGATGCAGGCTGGTCCCTCCAGGGCCTGTCCCCGACTGGGGATAAGACACCATGGCCCGGTGGGGATGGGGATAGGATAGTAAGACGAAGTCAGGACGAGGATAACATCGGGTGGGGAGAAATCGAGAATCTCTGAGCTCCCCCGGCGGCCCTGGAGGATGTATCGGGCGCCACGGCCTCTTCAGAGCGTTCCCGAACGCTCTTAGAGCGTTCCCCAACGCTCTGCAACGGATGTGTCCTCGTCTTGGACTTAAGTCGGGCGTGCCCCTCTACAGGAGGAACACTCAAGCACATTCTAGAGCCAAAAAAAGTCTGGGGACGACTTTCTACTATTTTTTAACATGTTTGGATGTTTTGGGATATCTCTTTTACTGGTCTCTACTTCTCGTCCAAACCCCGCATGTAGGAGGACACGCCCGACCCGATCCTGGCGCCGTCCGAGTCCGCCGACCCCGAGGGCCGAGAGGCAGCCCCCTGCGCGGCTCGCACGCCCCAGCGAACGCGGAGCCCCCTGAGGCCCGCGCTGGACCGCGCCCCCCCCCCGGGCCCCGCGGGCGGCGGGGCCCTCCCCCGCGGTGGCCCCCCTTGAAGGGGCCCTGGGAAACACAAATGAATACACACAAATAGCAGGATTCCCCATATTTTCTCATATTTTCTGGGTTTTTGTCTTCCCCCCCACTTCCCATATTTTCCCATATTTCCTGGGGGATCGACGATGTATTGTGTCTGTGTTTTTTCCCTCCTGACCCCTGCCCTCCCACCGCCCCCCGGGGACCCCCCCCCCCCCGGAGGTCCTCGTCGCCGCGGCGCCTCGGGAGACGCGCCAGGACCCAGGCGTGCTCGCGTGGTGGAGAAGAAGATCCCGGCGGGAGGTCTTTTGGTCGCTTCGGGCCTCCCTCGACAAGCGTGGTCCACTACTCGCAGAGCCACTGCTCGCAGAGGGCCCTGGTCCGCCGCGGGGGATTTACGATACAGTACCTCGAAGCACACATGTGTTTGTCTCAGACGTTTGCGCGCAGGCAATTCGCGGATAGTGGAGCGCGCTCGGCGACTCCTGGGGCCCTTCCCGGGCCTCGGGACGGCCCAAGAATTATTCAGGATGTGTTTCCTGTTTTAAATAGAAAAAACAAAAAAACAACCCCCCCCCAAAAAAAACAACAACAACGACAACAACAACAACAACCACAACAACAACAACAACAACAACAACAACAACAACAACAACAACAACAACAACAACAACAACAACAACAATCACTTTACCCGAACGCTCAGTGTTCTCACCAGTGCCAGGGTTTTCATGCGACGCCAGCCAATACCCCCACTTTGTGGGGGGGCAGTGCAAGCTCTACCAAATATCCACACGACTCTTCGCCACCACCCACACCCAGCTTCCCGCCCTATGACGTTCGGACACTTCACTTCGTGGCCTGCGGACGACCGTGGCTACTACACTGGCGTGGAGTACACACCCACAGAAGTTGTTAAGCCTACGTTCGTACACCCACAGAAGTTGTTAAGCCTTGTTAACCCACAGAAGTTGTTAAGCCTTCCACAGAACATCTGCCCCTGGCAGGCGCGCGAACCCCGTTGCAAGAGCGTGCGAAAGTAGCTCGCGCGAGCTCATGTAACATAAATGTTGGAAAACCATTGGTTTTTTTTAGGATTCGGACAGCGCGCGCGGGTAGAAATTTTGAAAAGTCGTGCAGGTGTTTTTCGAGGACCTACGGTGCGATTCGTGTGATTTTATGATGCGCGGTGCTAAAATTCTTAAGAACCCAATGGTTTTTGGAGATTTCGGCGTGCGCGCGCGAAGAAAAACGAATGTGTCCCGCATGGTATTATTTGACAGGGATGATGGCCCTGGCAGGTGCGCAACCGTTGTCGCAGAAGTTCGAAAAAGTTGCTCGCAAAAGCCCGTTTGACAGAAATGTTTAAAAAGTGTTGGGTTTCCTACGAATCCGCAAGAGCGCGCGGGATGAGATTTTGACAATTTTTTGTTGAAAAACCATTGGTTTTTTGATGTTTTTATGTTAAAATCGCTCCGAACACTAAGCTTTTGGAAGGATTTCGTCTTGCGCGCGCGAATGTCCACTTTACCTTATTTTTTACAAGGGATTCTTGAAATTTGATAATATTTGAACAAGAAATTTCATTTTATAGTGTTTTTTGCAAGGGAAAGCGGATTACAACAAAACAACCGGATCTTGATCACCTCGAATTACCTGAGGCTTCCTCACGAAAATGATGAAAACGTGGCTGCGGCCTAGGCGCGGCGGGGGGGGCGCGCACCAGGGGGCCCAACAATAATTATTCTTTAGAATTAATAATGTTCAACAACAACAACAGCTAGCAGCAGCAGCAGCAGAGCAGCAAGCAACAACAACAACAACAACAACAACAACAACAACAACAACAGCACAGCAGCAGGCAGCACGCAGCAAACAACAACAACAACAACAACCACAACCCAAACCACAACCCAACCACAACCACAACCACAACAACAACAACAACAACAACAACCACAACAACAACAACAACAACAAGAACAAAAACCCCGCACCCGGAGACAGGGTCGGGGCTTGCCAGGACGTACCCTACTGAAAGAAAGTCCAGCCATCGCACGTCTGGGGAGGGGACCCCAGGAGGGGACCGGGGACCAACTTGGAGCGGTTCGGGGCTTGGCGGAAACAGACAGGCAAACCCGAGCTGGGTCGAGTCGCGAAGTCGGATGGGATCGGCAACGGATCAGATCGCCAGCGAGCCGTCACGCGCCGACACATCGGATCGCCGCGACGGGCTGCGGCCAGCCCCCCGGCCGATGCCAGTGAGCAGAGCCGAGCCGCACGAGACCGGCGCATGGCGGCCCCGGCCGGCAGATCGAAGCGCAGCGACGAGGGTCGCAGGCGGCGCTGCCCCCGCCCCGTCGCCAGACCTCCACTGTCCCTGTGGCCGGTTCGCTCTACACGCCGGTCGGAAGAAGTGAACGGACGCACGGAGTTAAGAAAACGTTGGGAATTGGGTCTCCGCCCGCCCCCTGAAGACGAAGGAGAAACGAGAGCCGCTCGATGCTTCAGGTAGGAGGGAAGGCGCCTGAAGCAAATGCTGGAACCCAGGAATCCAAAAATGCCTGCTTTCAACAACCGATGGGTTGGGATTCGCAAGGGGCCACAGGATACACAGCCTCTCCCTTTGAGGGGGGAGGGCGGCAGGGTATTCGCACCCCGGAACGCTTACCGCCACTTCTCTCGCCCAACCCCGCTCCCCGGCGGTTCAGCGGAGGGGCCCCGAGGTGGTCAACTAAGCGACAGCAACTCTAATTAAACCCAGGCGCGCCTGCGAGCGACTGCTCCCCTGACCCAGGCGCCCTGGGGGACGGAGGAACCTTTCCAGCCGCCAAGATCAACAGAAAATGCCGCTAGTAGTTGGGGAGGAGAAGGAGGAGGAGGAGGAGGAGGCGGCGGCGGCGGAGGAGGAAGAGGAGGGGGGAGGGAGGGGAGGGGGAGGCGGCGGAGGCGGAGGAGGAGGAGGAGGAGGAGGAGGAGGAGGAGGAGGGAGGAGGAGGGAGGAGGAGGAGGGAGGAGGGCAGGAGGGAGGAGGGAGGAGGGAGGAGGGAGGAGGGGCGGAGGGAGGAGGGAGGGAGGTGGAAGGTGGAGGGGAAGGAGGGGAGGGAGGGGAGGAGGAGGAGGAGCGAGGAGGAGGGAGGGGGGGAGGAAGGAGGAGAAGGAGGAGGAGGAGAGGAGGAGAGAGGAGGAGAAGGAGGAGAAGGAGGGGAGGAGGAGGAGGAGGGGCCCCGAGGGGCCACGAGGGCGGACGGGATCGGCGTGTATGCCCCCCTAGCTTGGGCGGGAAGGTGTATGCGCCGATCTGGGCACGGGATCCGCTGGGCCGGGATCGGGCAGGTGTCAGCTGGTGCCCCCCGAAGGGCTGCAGGACCGGTCAGCAGGGACCTCCTCCTCCTCCTCCCTCCTCCTCCCCTCGCCTCTCTCTCTCCTTCCTCTCTCCTCCTCCCTCCTCCTCTCTCACTCCTCCTCCTCCTCCTCCTCATGTCCTATCCTTCCTGCTCCTCTCCTTCCTCCTCTCTCCCCTCCTCTCCATCCTCCTCCTTCCCTCTCCTCCTCTTCCTCCTGCTCCTCCTCTCCTCTCCCTCCCCTCCTCCTCTCCGCCTCCTTTTCATCCTCCCTCTCCACCTCCTCCTCTCCTCCTCCTCCTCCTCCCCCTCCTCCTCCTCCTGCAGCTCGTGCTGAGGAGCGAGCCTCGAGGATCCATGGTCGAGACATCATGTCTGACGGTCTGTCGCGCTCTTAGAGGCCTCCTGATGGGGTCGGAGTAGATGGGGTCGGAGGATCGCGCCGCATCGCCGATGCATCGGCGACATCGGCGATGCATCGGCGCCATCGGCGTGGGGAAATTCTGGCTCCGCATCGAGCCGCATCGCCGATGCATCGGCGATGCGCCGCGATCCTCCGACCCCATCTACTCGGACCCCGCCTAGAAGGCGTAGAGTTCTGGGAGGGTTCTGGGGGGGATGCCGAGGGACTGTCACATCCTCCAGGAGGTGGCCAATCCCCCCCGGCGGTGATCCCGCTCTTGGGAGTGCCTGTGTCGTGGGGAGGGGGGGGCGAGGAGGCAGGGCAGGATCCGTCGGCATCGACTCGGGAAACCGCACCGAACTGAAACGGAAGGGGCCCAGGGAGACACAAATAGATAGACACAAGTCCGAGGATTCCCTGTGTTTCTGGGTTTTCGTCCTCCCCCCCACTTCCCAGATTTCCCATATTCTCCTGGGAGTCCACGATGAATTGTGCCTGTGTGTTCTTCCCTGCCTGAAAAACGTGCGCCTGGTTCGACCGCATCGGCACGGAGTCGAAACCGAACCGGGTCGGCCGCATCAGTGCGCACAGCAGCGCCACGCACACCTCGGGGCGCATCGGATCGTCGGAGTATCGGAATCCACTCGGATCGGACCGGGGAAGCGCCGATGTCGAAGTGGAGCGGACGGGCCGAAGTGTACCCTGGGGTTGTGGATGCCATGACAATGGACACTCTAACAATCCTATCATTGAATCAAAGATGCGTTCAAATGTGTGAAACATGTTATATAAAAACGTTTCAAGCATGTTTTTGCATGTTTAAGACATGTTTTAAACATGTTTTAGACACCTGGCAACGATTTAGCAGCACGCTTCCTCTCCATTAAATCGACTTCCCCAACCCTGGGGGCTGGGGCCCCGAGGGAAAAGGAGAGGGGCCCTGAGCTGAACTTTTCTAGACACCTGGCAACGTTTTAGCAGCACGCTGCCTCTCCATTTAATCGACTTCCCCAACCCTGGGAGCTGGGGCCCCGAGAGAAAAGAGGAGCGGGGCCCGGAGCTGAACTGTCGCCGTGCGAGGCCACCCGCCCCGCGGAGGCCCCGCCCCTCGGGGCCCCGCCGCCCGACCGCCGACGCGCCTCCCTCACGGCTCGTGGGCCCCCACCCTGCGCGCCGGCGCTCCTACAAAGCTGAAGTCGGGCGTGTCCCCCTACAGGGGCACTTTCGACGAAAATTAAAGTTATAAGTTATAGTATATATATATATATATATATATATAGATATATATATTATATATATATATATATATATATATATATATATAGATAGATATATACTCCAAGATGATCGAAAAATACTCAAAAAAAACAGTCCCCAGACTATTTTGGGTTGTTTTTGAATATTCCTCCTGTAGAGGGACGGGCCCGAGTTAATACAAAGCCTTATTTGCCCTCCCTCCCCTCCCCCCAGGCTTGTGTTGCTCCCCTCGCACTTGATGACCAAATCCCAGAAATGATCTCGAGCACCCAGAAAAATATCGACTATGTGTCGAACGAAAATTGTCTCCGAGGGCCCGACGCGTGAAAACCCTAAAGTTCTGGCACGTTGTTGGTGCAGAAATTATTTCTGGTGATCAAGGCTAAAATAGGCTGCAACATCATAACTCCTAGCTGGTTTCGGTCGCGCAGCCTGCCCCCCCAGCCACGTCTTCCGCCTGCTCTTCGACAATATCCGTCGTCCTCACCTCTTCGCACGCGCCCGAATGGACAAATCACTTCGGGTCACGTGTCCGCGGCCCGCCGACGATCTAAAAGGACGCGAGGCGAGGCGCGCGATGGCGAGAGAGAGAGGGAGAAAGAGGCCCGAGGGAAGACCACGAAGGGCGTCAGGGAGCGAAGATGCCTTTGCGTAGTTCATGACATACAAGTACACGAGCTTCTTGAGCTCTATGTTATCCTCCGATCCCCGCGCTCGCGCCCACACCGTAGGCCTCAATGCTGCATGAACGCTGAGTCGCAGCTGACCCAAGTGCCACCAAATCCACGAGCGCTCGGTCTAGTACACTGCCCGTCATCCCTCGTTCGCACGGCCCAGAGCACGAACGACGACCGACCGACGGAGAACGCACTGCTTGCATGAACGCATCCGAAGGTGACCTCGGGGCCGGCACGCCTGCTCGGACGCCGGCACTGCAAGACTTAAGCGCACAAGAGAACTGCTGCAACGACACCCGCTTCCACAGTGCCCTCCGTCTGGATGCAGTTCACCACGTCCGCGAAGAGGGCAGACACGTCCTCGCCAGCGCAAGCACCCGTCGGGCAGTGGCTCACCGGCAGCATTCGACAAGTGGTTCACGGCGGCACCGCAGAGACGAGTCCCACCGACAGCGAGGCAGAAGACTACCATCAACAAACGACCCACTCCTTTCCTTCTCTGGCCAGCCATCTTCTCCAGCACCCCATCACTCACCCTCGGAGGAGGGGTAGGAGGAGGAGGAGGAGGAGGAGGAGGAGGAGGAGGAGGAGGAGGAGGAGGAGGAGGAGGAGGAGGAGGAGGAGGGAGGAGGAGGAGGAGGAGGAGGAGGGAGGAGGGAGGAGGGAAGATGGAGGAGGGAGGAGGGAGGAGGAGGAGGAGGAGGAGGAGGAGGAGGAGGAGGAGGAGGAGGAGGAGGAGGAGGATCGCCAACCAACTGCCAACTGGAAGCCGCGAGACGTGTATCGGGGCCCCGGGCAAAACCCTGTTGGGCCTCATCTGAGAATGTGCATGAGACACGTTGACGGACACAGGAAACACTGCCAAGAAAGGCAGGCGACCAGAACCGAATCCCACAACCATGTAAGTAACGCAATAAAAACTTCGGCCTGAGGATCACCGAAAGGAGGATTGCAACCACACATCATACCTATACGACGACCCTTCGGGTGATAAAGAGGCTGTGGGGGAGGGGGAGGGGGCAAGCTAGGTGCGCTCGCGTCATATCTGACGTCCTACCCCTCCCTCCCATCCCTTACCATGGCGCTGATTTTCTCTATCCGCGGACGCGTGTCGTAGCGGACCTGTGGCTCCGCGCGCGCGTGCGTAGTGGGTGGTGGTGCGTGCGTGCGTGCGTGCGTGCGTGCGTGTGTGGGTGGTGGTGGTGGTGGTGGTGGTGGTGGTGGTGGTGGTGGTGGTGGTGGTGGTGGTGGTGGTGGTGGTGGTGGTGGTGGTGGTGGTGGTGGTGGTGGTGGTGGTGGTGGTGGTGGTGGTGGTGGTGGTGGTGGTGGTGGTGGTGGTGGGTGGTGGTGGTGGTGGGTGGTGGTGGTGGTGGTGTGTGGTGGTGGTGGTGGTGGTGGTGGTGGTGGTGGTGGTTGGTGGTGGTGGTGGTGGTGGTGGTGGTGGTGGTGGTGGTGGTGGTGGTGGTCGGTGGTGGCGGGCGGATGGGCGCGCGAGAAAGAGGCCCGCGCTGGGGCGAGAACGCCATCCTGAACGACGGAGGCCAAACACCGATCCGAAAATGAGGCCCACGCTGCAGCGGGAGCACGATTCGGAACGATTCGGGAGCAGAAATGAGGCCGGCGCCTCAGCGAGAGCAGCATTTTGAAAAAAAAGCACAAGCGAAAACCCGTTTCCCGGGAATCCTGTGTGTAAAAAAACAATACGCGGGGGGGTGTCGGATATCTTCGGGACGCCATCAGGGGAAGTGGGAGAGTATTTTCATATTGTGTAATTGTGGAACCAACATCTGACTCAATCGACCTCACGATCCATCTCACTCAACGGGACACCACGGGACACCACGGGACACCACGGGACACGTGTCGATCTCACTATCGATATCACTATCGATCACACTCAAAGGGACACCACGGGACACCACGGGACACCACGGGACACCACGGGAAACCGCGAACACCTCTCGATCTCACCATCGGTCTCACTATCGATCTTACTATCGATCTCACTCAACGGGACACCATAGGACACCACGGGACACCACGGGACACCTCAGGACACCACATCGATCTCAGTATCGATCTCACTATCGATCTCACTATCACGCTCACTCAACGGGACACCACGGGACACCACGGGACACCACGGGACACCTGTCGATCTCACTATCGATCTCACTGTCGGTCTCACTTTTTGGGACACCACGGGACACCTCGGGGCACCACATCGATCTCAGTATCGATCTCACTATCGATCTCACGCAACGGGACACCACGGGACACCACGGGACACCACGGGGACACTACGGGACACCGCGGGACACCGCGGGACACCGCCGGACGGGCGGGAGGTGGAGAATCATTTGTCTTGGCTTCGCCCTAGCAACGGCGGACACCACGGGATACCACGGGACACTGCGGGCCACCGCCGGACGGGCGGGAGGGGGAGAATCATTTGTCTTGACTTCGCCCTAGCAACGGCGGGTTAATTCCTCTCGCGCGCCCGCGCAGCTTCTCCTCGCCCGCACGCACGACACGAACGAAACGAAACAATTTCCTGGTTGGGGGTCTCCGTTCCACTGCGATTTCACCCCCCAACCTCCGATTACAATGAGCTCCTGTGATTCCGGCCAAGATGCGTTCACGTCTAGTGGAACTGATGCTTCCCTCGCAACGAGGATGGTGGTGTGACCCTCGAACTCGCACTCGAACATCATGGACTCATCGCTTGCATGCAAAACATTCAAACGAACAGAAATGTGAACGCATTCGGGCCACGTTGGCCGAATGCTATGCCAACACGCCATATGCTCTCAAGGACGTAACCCACTAAACTACGATCTGCCGAACAAACAAAACTTGAAACACGAGTAAGCCCCATTGTCTCTCTTGATCGGACGAGCTCGGAAAGGCTTTGGACAATTGATGTTACGAACTGGGAGACATGACCGTCGTAGCCTCAAAGCATTCAGGAAGCACACGACAAGCAACAAAAGAACGACTGAAACCGTCCAAGCCTTCCCAACCGTCATGTTGGCAATGACCTTCTTCACTGCGTCCTTTCGCGAAGACTCGCCAATACCCCAATCAATGCCGCAAATAATCGTAAGTGCGACGTGGCAAACCTGGTCAACCACAGGTGCCAGCAGGTGGCCGCTCGATACAGCAGATGTACACCAGTGTGTGCGAAAGCCTGTCTACACCACAAATATATGTGACTATGCTCGACTGTGCGTGCTTCTGTCATGTTTCGTGAACGCGTCATACTGCGCACGAACTCTTCTGCGCACGAACTCTTCTGCGTACGCTCGCATTCATACATACGCGCTCACGTGCTCCTGCGCACGTGCAAATATGTGTAGTCGCGCGTGTTGCCGTTCATGAACGCGTATTCACAGCACGGGCCCCATATTCGCGCATGCGCGCTTCTTGGGGAACGCGGAACCCCCTTGCGCAAGCCGTCCCCTGTCTTCTGCTCCGACAGTCTGGGTGAGGCTACATCAGGTCGCCCACTATCCCCAAGCTGTGCATAGACCAGCCCCACCAAATCCCGGATGTGGCCACGCCACTGCGCGCCCTGCCCGAACCTGCTGCGTGGACGCGCCATCAGGCCGAGCTGGCTGGCCCCGACACCACTGGCACGCACCTGCGCTTGCCGTCTGGCTCGACGCAGTGGCATTGGCTGAGTCTGGGCGCACTTCACGGCCAGGCCCTTGCCCTGGACTGTGAAAGGCATGGTCAGCTTTCTCGATGGTCCTTAGAACGTGTGTCGGCGCCGACCATGCTTGGCCAGCGAAGCCCTTCAGTACGACGCGGGTGGCGCTGCGAGGGACGACGCTCGCTGCCTGCCGCTAGCGGAACTGAACGTGGAACACACCTTGGGCTACCACGCGTCCTGAGGATCATGGCCTTTTTACCCTCAATTGCTGCACTCAGCCCGCCCCCGACGCCGTGCCACTGACGCGCCACCTCCCGCGGGCCACTCTCCCATCGGGCCGGCACCGCTGCTGCACCCGGCCCTGGTGACATGGGCCGCTGCTCCCGCCCTCTCCTTCCCGTCAACCCTGGGCGCACGCCGTCGGCGAGATCGTTCTCTCTCTCGCTCTCTCTCTCTCTCTCTCTCTCTTACTGCCTCTCTCTTGCTGCCTCTCTCTCTCTCTCTCTCTTACTGTCACCCCCAGGGCGCACACCGAGGGAGGGGCCGGCCTCTCTCTCCCTTTCTCTCTTTCTCTCGTACCACCGGGCGCACTCCGGCAGCGGGGCCGCTCTCTTTCTCTCCCTCTCTCCCTCTCTCTCTCACCCCCAGGCGTACACCGACAGCGGGGCCGCACGTTGTCTCTCATCACCAGGCTCACGCGGACAGCAGGGCCTCTCTCTCTCTCTCTCTCTCTCTCCTACCACCAAGGCGCACACCGACAGCGGGGCCGCTCTGTATCCCCTTGCGGCGTGGGTGACGCACTGCCGCGTGCCGCCTGCGTTTCAACTCGCCCGATCTGCCATTCCCAACGGCTTGAGGCGTGCGCTCAGTGTAACGTGTGGTATAGCTTCCCCTTTCGCCAAGCCAGGTGGTTGCGTCTTGTCGATGCGTCCTTTCTTATGTCACTGGGTCACAGTCGTGCTGCAAGCAACGCTCTTCCGTCTGGACGACGGCGCAACGGGCTGCCGACACACACACACAGACACACACACACAAACAAACAAACAAACAGGCGAATAAAAACATTACAAATATGAGCGTGCATCAGCATCTCTGAACGTCAAGTACACCATCAGATAATTCTGAAACCAAATCTAGAGGACCCCTGCGAAACGAGCGAAGGAAATCTGATGGCACATGCTTATCCAACACACGGCCACGCAAGATGAGCTGTGTTCTTCAACCAGGGTACCAACGCAACAAACAAATATAACAAATCTGAGCACTGGCACCACGACAACATTGGGAATTCCCGTTGTCTCAGGATGAGTTTACTGAGCACGCAGACTGACGAGCAGGAAATGCACTGCTTTCGAAGTGCAACGTGAACTATAGGTGTCGTGGACCAATACAAATATCAAGGTACAACGGTCGCACAAGCACGGCAAGCAGTTGATCCTATCTCATGCAGAATCCATCCCACACTAGCGCAGGCATGCAGTCCTTCTGCTTTCCCTTGTCGGTTGCGTGAAGCTCCTCCTTCAACTCCTGAATCTCGCCACGTTTGGTCGTCTGGAAGAACTTTCCGTCATTCTGCTTCCTGCATCAACACTGCTGGGAGGGTGGCAGCAGGAAAAGGCCGCCACAAATGAACACCTGACACCGACTAAGACCACCAGCTGCCGCCCGTGACGTCTTGAACAAATAGGCATTACACATGCACTTATCAATAAACAGACAAACAAACAGAAACAAACAAACAAACAAACAGACAGACAGACAGACAGACAAACAAACAAACAAGCAACCAACAGAACGACAAAAAAACAGCATGGCTGCAAAGCAATTTTCTCGCACAAAACAGCAGTACCAAGGCTAACAGCTGTCCAGGATGGGGGGGAGCAAAGTACAATAAAACATTGCGCGAGCCTGCAGCATCCTACGAACAAGAATGCTGCCCACCACGTCAAGAGCCGTGCGGGTGCTTCGAAAGTTAAACTGCAGGAAGCATGCATCAATCCATTCCGCAACAGATGGCATGCCGACGCAAGACCTGCACATGCCAAAGATGCATATACACCCAAACCATGTGTATATCTATATATATGCCTGTAGGTGCGAATACAGTTATATATATACATATAACTGTATGAGCATGGACATGTGTATCTGGATAGACATGCCAATATACGTGTACAGGACATCACATACGTATGCGCAGGCTCCTTCAAAAATACTGCGTTCAAGTGCATGACCGACTTCGTATACAGTGGTGCCGTCAGCACAAGCGTGCGCCTTTATTTGCAGGCGCACATGCACATACACACACACATGGTTTTCTTCAGCGCGCCGGCATGGCACACTGCTGCGCAGCCAAGATCAAGCGCGTGCTGGACAGGAAGGCGTGGGACAAAAACCCAAACAGCCGCAGATACTCACATACGCACACGCACACACAAACACACACACACACACACACACACACACACACACACGCACAATCACATACACTGCGGGTGGGATACACTCCTTGAACATCAGCAGCCACACACGCATTTGTATACAAACTTCCGCAAGCACGTAGATACACGTGTACATGGTCGCCATACGCAAACAATCACACGTGTACAACTACATGGGTAGAATTGCACACATGTGCATGCGCATACACTTGTATCACAGGAGGCGCGGCAGGTCGGGTCCTCATAGCAACCAT